CGTAGACTGGTTTATATTTATATCATGTCTATATACATATAAGTAGCTAGGTAAGGTTGCATGTTGCATATTATACCTAGTATAACAGTCTCCTACCCGATGTGACGGACCCTGAATTCCCATTCCCCGCGCCCGCTCCGATCAAACCCCTCCGTCTGCATTCTACATTGCATTTCTACATCCATGCGTCCGAAGTACCACCTTCAAGCTTCCTGGTTAATAAAATCTCTTCCCCATTGCTACGTTAACTTAGGTATAGGTATAGTAAGCCTACGCGCCCGACGGTCCTTATCTCTGCTAAACGCCGAACTAACTTTTTTGGTCTTTCTTTCCTATCTCCTTACGGCGTTTAATCAGAGTCGGTGGCAACCTCATATCGGGCGAGAAACAACAATTGGAGTCTTGCACAATTGTCACGGTGCCGGATGTAGGTACCCGTGAACAAGGGACGCTTTAACGGGACGAATCGTTGATTACCGTGTGCAACTCTCAAAGGCTAAAGTCTAATTAACATATGTTGTTATCTTTTTGAAACAAGATCTTCTTTACTAGAATGTTCTCAAAAAAATGAAAGGAAGCTACCCTAGTGATATATCCCCTGGTTTGGCTCTTAGTAGTATGTCAGCATTGTTCCTTTAGAGCTCATTCCTTTTCTTCCTTCGTGGTGGCCCTGGTGGGTTTATAAGCAACTACATGCCATGTATATAGGTACCTACCTAGGTATGTATCATAGTACGCGTGAAAAGTCAATAACTATTGTGCTTTATAATCCCCAATTTTTAAAACATTCCAACATAGAATATTCAATGTTGTTTTTGTCAACTAAAACGGTTAAATAATGGAAAATTATCTATCTCGGTACAGCCATTAGATCAGTTTAGAGCAACCAGGCGTGTGAGAGGTGCGAACCTGAGCCGAACCTAAGCAAGGCCTTGGTTCAGCACGGCACAGCACAACACAAGTCACCTCGCATAAAAGCAGATCCTCTTTGACGAAGTAGGTATACGCCTATTTTGACGGATGTGCGTAACAAACGAGACTATTGCAAAGTTGCGAAGACATGAGAAGCCAAGTACACTTATTACCTATAAACTTAGGTAGGTACCTGGTAAGCGAACTTTGCATTCAAGGGAGTGTTTGGCGGCTAGTGAGGAATGTAATAGCTTCCAGGCGTTCCAGTTCAAATGAGTTCATCAAATTTTGATACCAAACTTCGGGATCCATAGTATCAAGTAGGCTGAAAAGGAAGATGTATCAAGTCAGCTTACAGCATCTTGCTATACGTGGTTGCAATCGAGTTTCGATCAGTTGCGAATGCTATTTTCAGGTGTCTCGCGCCACCACATTCGCGATGTCAATTTCATACTCGGAAAAGAGTATTTTCGGGGACTTTAAGGTTGGTATTTCTGTCACGCTATTCCTCAGCTGTTCCAAGAAGGATATGAGGTTTTCGGTTTGTGAGGCTAGAGAGTTATTTTTATATGCACATTCACACTGCATCTACATGCGCTATACCTGACAGTAGTTGATAATTTTAGCGTTTGCTGTATATCAGACCGTAGTAAACATGTTAGTAGCAAGGTAACCCAAGGTCGCCGTCGTGTCGGCTTCTGGCAGAGATCTCCGGCTTATCCAAGGCCATTTCGACGACCACCGGGTCTCGGTGCGAATGTCAAGTAGGTATTATCAATGTTAAGAATGAGGACGACGAGAACCAGAACTTGGACGGGTTCATGAGGATCGGTCGTTGGTTCTTGGGCAGTCCATGCAAAAGTCGGAATTTAGGATACAGCCCTTAAGAGGCGGACATGATCGAGTTTAACCTCAGTAACACTCCTGCTCTAGATAGGTGCCTATCTAGGTAGGTAAACGTAAAGTACATTGGTAATATTGCAAGGACAACCTTTGACACTTTGAAGTTACAGGAGACTCGAGCTGTATACTAGACTCGTGCCAGAAAAGTGAGCATGTAACGAGTTAGTCACCATGTTCTCCGATCCCAGAAAATTACAAGAGTTATTGCTAGCGCTATATCTGGCGAGGAGGAAAAGCAAGAGGTCATGACAAGGACTGAGTGCCTAGGTAGAGTCCGGTATTTTCTTTCATAATATTTCCAAGGCCTTATACACGTTTCCTGACGTTGGGAACCAGTGGGGCTCAAGGTCACAAAGACAAGACGGCAGGAAGACATTTACTGCCATCGTGGATGTAGTTATGATTGTTAGGAGTACGAAGCGTATCCTGGCTTATCTCGAGCGAAGCGGTATGAACGTGATCTAACTATATAAAATAACAACTAATCGATTGTACAACTCAGTATAATCGGTATAAATCGTGATGATGTAAAATGGGCACATCTCAAATGGCTTACGCGGATTCTTTCCGTATTGCCGCGCAGACTGCACTTCGCACCCTATTGCTATCGGCCTCGCTCCGCGACCGGCTCCAAACGGACGCCTCGGGGCGAAGGGCCGAGATCCACTTCGGATCGAATGCGCCGAGCCCCTTTCCAAGATCTTTCCAAATCCATATATGAACCACGATCTTGCCCTTGACCAGGCTTATTTCCAAGCAAGTATCCGTGCAACAGGACTGGCAGTTGGAAACGTGGCGGTCAGGTCCATATAGGCTCTGCCACTTGTTCCACTTCCTGGAGGTGCTTCCTAGAGGGTTGCGCCACTTCGTTACATATGCCATGCCCGCTTTCATCAGGCCTTGCGTCTCTCGAAACTCGTACAGTTGGAACCGCTGCTGTTGGTGCGGACAAGTCTTGAATGTCCAGTTTGCGGAACGCCCCAGTATGGTAAACTCGCGGCCGAACACGGCCTTTGGTCTTTTCAGTTCGATGGTAAATCGAACCGCTTGTTGAAGATAGAAGGAGTCTTTGTACCAGTAGGGGGAGGACCAATACCGAAAGCTCGGCCGCGAGAGCCCGTTTCCAACCACGATTCCGCGGCACGCCAAGGCATTGAGTCTTGCTCTTCGTACTTCGGGTGATGCTGCAGTTTGGACCCAATGGATATGATAGTATGCTAGAGCATACCGGAAAGACTTGTGAACAGGATCAAGCGGATCAACGGTAGAGTGGTCCGGGTGTAATAAAGACCATATTCCTTCACTATCCTGGGTTCTATTGCGCTCCACTTTGTCTTTTTGGGGCGACCCAGTAGATTGTATGGCAATGCTCGAGGTCTTCTTATCAGATGGAACGCGTTTGTTGTATGCTATTGGTCGTTTCTCCGGGTTGTGACGGGAGCATCCTTCGGTAGGACCGAACACGCAAGGATAGTTGCCAGCCCAGCCCCGAGAGCTCTCGAATTCAAAAGGGAAGGTTAGCTCACAAGCCGATGATAAAGATTCCTCGTACCTCTTGTCGTCGCACATTTCCTTGGAGCCCACCTCATCGTATCGCCACCTGGTGTGTATACGAATGAAGACCTCTCTGAATTTCTCCCATGTCATGGCCATATTGGATAAATTTGTTAATAATATTTTGATTTGAACGGCGTTAGCTAGTAGACGTGCAGTTAAGTCGAGATGGAAGGTTGGCGCAACTACACAAATGTGTAGGAGGACCTTTAGATGAGAATAATCTACAGGTAGAAACCTAAGGAACATCCAAGGAGGTGTGCTAAATATACCCTCTCAGAAGGTAAGCTGATACCTTAAAGCCTCTATAATATTTTATAAGTCCACGCATATGCGGTACGTAGAATTAACTCTATATTCATCGTAGTCCGGCTATCATGTCCCTCGCCCTCACTCTCACTGTATTAGGGTGTTTCCTGGAGGTTAGGTATAACTACTAGGATTGCCCAAAGTTTCGTAACGATAGCGGCCGGCCCCAGAACCCAACGCCGAGCCTAGACGCGTGTGCTCAAGACTCCGACGAACATCGTTGAACGCCCAAACATTAAATCACCGTATATATTGATATACATATGCATATCCAATTCGGGGACGGGAAAACAAAATACAAAGAGAAATGTACTGAACCCGACAACATTTGCCAAGAAAATGGTCTCGATCTTTTCGAGGCAACCGTCGCTTCCCGTTGAAACCTTATAGGGGTGGCTCATGTGTCCACGCCGACAACTAAAGCTAGAACTACTTCGGAGGCTATGAGATTGTGAAACCGGACGATAATATTGGAACGACTCGTAATGTAAGAACTCCTAGCCTTTTCCGCTCTCGAGCTTATATAACACCATCAGTCGTAGAAGGAACGACTGCAGCTTGAGATTGGGTTACGTCTCCTATCTTTACTATTGCGTGGACTTTTTGGTGAAACCAACCCCGAGCCTCTAGATTATTTCATTTCTCCCTCTGGTAATACCTGGTTCTCGGCCTGCTTTAGCAGTTTGGTTGTCGAACGCCTTCGAAACAGGCTGTTGGCCCTTGGAGATAAGAAATATCGCCATAGTAGTGATAGAAGGCTCCTACGAGTTGTGACGAAAAGACAAGTCACGTTTACTCCTGCATCCAAGAATGCACATGTGGTCCTACTCATTATTAACATTCCATCCTTTTAAGATAATGGTGAACTTGCCTATGACGAAGGGATATAAACTGATGTAGATTACAGCGCGACGTGCCTAATTAGGGCTCAAGAGACTTGTAGAAAACATCGTTTAAGGGGGAGTATCAGGTAAGGGTATTCTCATCGAACTAGTTATATAAGAAGCGATTTAAATATCATTATATCACGCTTGGAAGGCATCGATAGCGTAAATGTCCAACTATGCATATCGTATAACCGTGTATGAAGTAGTACCTACAGCAATCAGGTATACCCTACCTAGGTAGGTAGGTAGGTAGGTACGAGATTACTTCCAAAGACCAATTCTATCTAAGCACTATGGATTAGACCGAGTGACATGTTTTTACATTGTGCGTACCCGTCGCCCACCAGGGTCCTATCCGACGACCAAGCTAAGGTAGGACTCCGCGCGCACAAATAATATATATCATTTTAGCAAACAAAACTCTCACCAAGGCCTGCCCGGTTAGCTCAATCGGTAGAGCGTGAGACTCTTAATCTCAAGGTTGCGGGTAAGTTACTCCTCACTACTCGAGGTTCTACCACATTATATACTAACATCACCTCAAAGGTTCGACCCCCGCATCGGGCTCAATTCCTGATGCTTCTCGTTAAATTGAGAAATATCAACCTTCCTTTTTCTTCCTTTTTCTTTTTTTGCTTTTTAATTTGATCTCATATTTTTATCTGTTCTATTTTTGACACAACAATCTTTTTACGGCGCTGCACATTTGGAATCATCAAATTGTAGTTTTTCATCGATGCTCAATACAGATTGTGTGTGCATGCCATGTTTTATTTGTTAGGTATTTCTGTTTCCAACACCAACACAACAATACTCGTCTTGCTCCACAGCCGGTTGTCATTGGTGGGATCAGCTAGAATTTGTGAATAAAGCGACTTGTAGATATTTTTTAGTATTATTAAAAACCTATATGGCAGAAGAGCCTAGGTTAGGTTAAAAACAAACAGAAAAAATTATGCGACCATTCAAGAACCCACTTTATTAGGTTTTCCTCGAGACAGCTCGGGTACCACGCTGAGAGCCTCACGACTATCCCGTTAGGGCACTCCTTCCAATCCTTCCAACCTTCAATCCCGGGCGAAGGAAATGACCCATCCCATTGGGAGAGCATATGCAGCTAACGAAGAAAACCGGTACTTTAGGGCCATGCAGGTTTACGTACCAGAATTTTAAGTTTATAAGGGTCCTGGTACGGAATATCGAAGTACAGGTAGTCTTAGTGGACCACAGATTAATAATGATAATAATAAAAACTTGCAACAAACCACCACTTTCCCAGGCATTTCCCAGGCATCTCCCAGGTGTTTCCCAAACCTCCAATTCCATATCGGCCCTTCAATAACGGCAATCCCATAAACGCAACCATGCTTCGCTGGTACGTAGGATGAATGTCACCCCCAGAGACAATATATCAGAAACCTTTTTCTTTCCGCCGAGCCGGTCGGTATACGAAATACAAAAGTATATATATTAAAATCATGAACGATCGCTGATGGAGAAATAACGTGTTAGGTACCAACGAAAGCTCGCCTCGCGGCCGTTATTGACGCAGAGCGTCACCACCGCCGTGCTATTCGCCGTCGGCGATATCACCGCACAGCAGGCCGTCGAGAAGAAGGGTCTTGAGAAGCACGAGATCGCCCGAACCGGTCGCATGTTCCTTTACGGTGGCGGTATGTTTCTTCTCGTTCATTTCTTCGTGTCGGAATACTCCCAGATACACGCCAGCGTCAAATTTCACCACTCTCACACCCACTCGCTTCTCTTACTCCTCACCAACTCATCTTTTTTACCCCACATCTTACCCCCCAAACTTTCGACCTGACCGCTCCCAATTCCCTCAAATACCCCCTTTTTACCTCCTTATCCCCCCTTATCCCCCACAACGCGCGTATTTCCCTGCGAAAAGCTCGTCACGCTAGCGACGAGGCTTAAAATTTTAAGATTGAGACGGAAATAAACCAAATGGCAAATGAAAAAAAAAAAAAAAAAAAAAATCTAAGTAGTGTACACACGCTAACCCTCCCTCCCTCGCTCCAGCCGTCTTCGGCCCCGCCGCAACGACATGGTACGGGATCCTGCAGCGCTCGATCCAGCTGCGCAACAAGAAGGCCGAGATGGTGGCGCGCGTGGCCGCGGACCAGCTGATCTTCGCGCCGACCTTCATCGGCATATTTCTGTCCAGTATGGCCGTCATGGAAGGCGGTTCGCCCAAGGAAAAGCTCGCCAAGAGCTACGCCCCCGCCCTCCAGACCAACTATCTCATCTGGCCGTTCGTCCAGATGGCTAATTTCACCTTCGTCCCCCTCGAGCACAGGGTCTTGGTCGTTAATCTCGTTAGTATCGGCTGGAATTGCTACTTGAGCATGATTAATAACCAGAAGTGAACGGGCTTGCGGTTTGCGAGGCGGCTTTTCTCGTTGGGTTGGCAGGAGAAGAGCTTGGGGCCGGGTCCGTTGGCGGTAACGAGGGACGTTATGACGAAGACTAGGCTGGGAGCCGGGGGCTTGTGATGTCTCTTGGGGGATTCGTGGATTCAAAAAGGGATCAGGGAAACTACGGTGATAGACTGGGCGTTTTGCGGCCGAGCGTTTGCACTATCGGTCTATAGAAAAGTCTTGCATGTCGTTTGCATGTCGTCATTGGTGGATTTCTTCTTTTCAAGCATTCGAGCCGCGGCAGAGTCATAAGTATAGCATAGCATAGACAGACTGGGTTTGGCTTTGAGCAAACGGTCCATCTCTACCCGGTACAATTCACGTATGTAGAGCTGGGGTTCGTTCCTAGAGAAACTAGAGAACAATCCTCGAAAGAAAATCGGACTTGAGAAGATATAATACCAGTTTCCAATATATACTACGAATGAGATAGTGACACGCCACCGGCGCCCTCGGGCCATCCGGATCCAAGCCCCTCTCTGCCTTTCAGTCCGGGTATCCAGGCGATTGTTTTCATACAGAATTAACATTATTTCGTAACGTGCGTCGAGATCGTGCCGTGCCTCACCCTCCCCGCTATGTACCGTAATCTGACCGGCCGTCAAGCTGAGCTGCGGGTCATGAGAAGAGGAACTCCTTCAGCACGGGCGATCCGGAGAACTCCGGATTTAATAGGATACAACTGTAACTATGTTAACACGTGCTCGTCTGATGTGTATTGGGGACGCAGATAGCTTACTTTAAAAAGTACTGTAGACCCGCTCGCCGTCTTTCCAGAAACCTCGGTCGAAACTTAGATATCAAGCTCTTGGGCGGTAGTTCGGGCACGGCCGCCTCAAAGTTTGGGAACGTGCGCACGAGTCTCCACCGGAAGTCGTCGAATTCGGAATATCGTTTTCGTATGTTCATGTAGCTTCCCTAAGTCGTATCCAAACATTAGCCCATTAGTCCACACGCCCGACGTTATCTTCGTACTCTTCGAGCTTTATTAAATCGCAACTTACATTTAGCGTCTCGACTCGTATGTTCCAGACCACGAAAGCACCTATATTCGTCGCGCTGCCGTTTACGGTGACGTAATCCGTTATCTCGACGCTCCTGGCCCAACACGCGTTTCCCCGATCGTCGAGACTATTAGTCTCGTTGTCGCGTAGGGTAATGCCGCCTGCTGGGAGGGACTCGACGGACACGGAGGCCATTCCCCTCGCGTAGTTTGTGTGGTCATTTATCCAATAAGGTGGGGACGTCACGGGTTCTCTGGTTATTGCATTTTGTTCTGCCGGGCGCTCTGGCGACGATATGTCGGTGGAAGATGTGGATTGTGGCGCATTCGAGGCGTTGGACTCGGTCTCGGTGTCTGTTTCTGTTGCGGGAGGGGAGGGAGGTGGGTTCGGCCGGAGGGTTGCTTGCGATAGGTTCTTGTGTACGATTCCGGTCGCGGCGCTATTGGCGCTTGGGAGCTGGGTCTCTACGATGGACGCCATTCGTCTACGCGCTGGTGCGCAGGCGGAATACAGCTGCGACTCGAGGAGTAGAATAGGGAGGGTATCGGGATGCGCGGTTATGACCGCAGTCAGTCGCTCGAACTGAATGGGGGTATATTGCTGTAATCTAGAAACGTGTTCTATAAGCGTTGATTCAAGATACGGTATTGGCGCACAACAAGGAACCACCTAACCGGTTAAAAGATTGAACGACGAGAATGTAGACAGATAGATACGTACAGTTGACAAAGGAATTAGAATTGGAAAAGATCGGAGGCCAAGAAGTCTAAAAATGATCTTTGAAGGTTTAAAGTTGCGCTAGGTTGAAGATTGGAAAATTCAATTCGATTAAACATGCGGACATTGGAAAGGCGGTTATCCCTGCCACTTTGGCTCATTACGGCGCCGTCTGATAATCGTCTAATCGGTTTCGATCAATTCAATTGGTGTTTGCAGGGATCGATGGACGTGGGGGAAGGAAGGAACAGCCCATGTCAACGTTTCGGGGCTCGGCATTGACGATTACATTATCAGGGGGCTTTGGCTTTTTTTTTTTTTTTTTTTTTTTTCGTTGGGCTTTATCTTATTACTATCGATTATCTATTTCGTGCCCTGTACGAAGTACTAATGTCGTGCTACCTATGATAGGTAACAGGTAATAAGGTATTGTACCTGCCTCCTAAGTGGAGCGGTTCTGCTAATTATCGGTTGTACTAAAACTGAAACTGTGATACGTCGAGGAATCCAGTCATTTCTCGAATTATTTATCGTGGTTTGTTTTTCTCCAACATGCTGAGGCTTTCTTGCATTAGCCACATAGTAAAGTAGCAACTAACCTAACCTAGTAAATTCTAGGTTATACTAATAGGCCATCTCCAACATTTACTGAATCATACAACCTATCATGATACGAGGATCTGTCTCTATCCCCTTATTGCGGGCGATTCCACTACCAACTCTACCTTTATGAGTGTTTGTCTCTGGGCGTTTATACCTAACGATAAGGAGGCCTGCGCCTAATATAAGCCAGACGAAATGATAGACCAATAGATTAAGACGACTCCCACAATACGGCCCGCCATAATAGTGGCATATCAGTCTCCCCGTCGTCTTGGGCTGGAAGGGCGGGATGAAATAACAGAAACACGCAGGTTATGTCAAAAAAGTACAGTTCCCGAGTATTTTAGACGCGTTGTGTGAGGCAAGCTATGGTTTGTCTTGAGTGGTTTGTTCTTTTGATTCAAGTACGAATATGGCTTTGCCGGGGGTCGACTCAATCAGATCGGGGCAGTCATGAACAGTGGCTATTGTCGTTGGAATCGCTTGCCGCCTATGATAGGTGAATAAGAAATAAATGCCAACAGACGTCTTTATCTATATAATGTAGTTTAGATGTATTTTATGTGTGTCATTAGAAATTCGTTTGCCGCGTCTCACTATTATAGGGGCTAGACAGCGAGAAGATGTTACGGGCCTTATTAAACAGGCTAGCGATTGGGATTTACTAAATCCAGCCCAATTTGCTCCATGGCTCAGGATTAATCGTCGAAATAGCTAAGGAATTCTGGATTAGGAGCCGCTGAGAGCATAGGTCTTGTGCGTGTAAAATTGGAAGTCTTTGGCTACCGGTGTCCGATAACAAACT